GTAAAACGACAGCTACCTGGAAGTGCACTGACACGTTTACCCTACACACGTCTGCCCGAAAGCATTTGTATCGTGTACATACTCATCATTTTCTTGTTCGCAATAGACACGACATATTTTCGTGGCTAGATCCGACAAAATTCTTGTGTCCAAGGCCATTCTCGTCTTTTCTGTTGCAGACACGACGAATTTCTTAGCGTATACACGCGCCCTTAGTGTATTATTATACTTGGGTTCGTCCTCAAGATTAGCATATAAACAACACTAGTAGTATCGCGTGGCGACCGCCACTTTTGCGCCATATTGAGGTTAAAATAATATTTTTTTGACATTGCACCTCGTTTACTTGTTCACTGCTCGATCACGCCATTTCATTTTCGTGTTTTAGTGCTTCGCCACTTAGTAAAATTTTTTCCATTTCTATATAAAATTCAAGTTTTAGTTTAAAATAACTGTTTTAAATTGTTCGACATGCCAAAAACAAACTACAAAAATAAATAATAAGATTTTCTGTGCAAAAATAGAAGAAGAATTACGTCGTGATAAAACCGTTAGACGTCGTCGTGTGTATGTTAAAAAGTTCATCGGAATTACATTTGGTTAATACAAAAATTGCATTTTTTGTAATTACGATTCAATACTGAATCTGGTGATATTGTAATATGGTATTGCGGGCAGTTTTTGGGACTGTTACTTACCAAAAACATGGAGTTGCGAGTAGCTACCAGGGCTACTTCTTCACCATAAATGATCGCTTAACAAGTCGATCAAGCAATATTCTCTCTAAAAACGAGTTTTGCGGACAGTTTGAGGTACTGCTTTTCAACTCGCTCGCTACCTACGATGTTTGGAGGTCGTTAATTCGAGGTTAGACTGCGATGGTACTGTCTCACCACCAACTGAGGCCACGATCCTTACAACGACAAACGAGCGCGCAGGTATTTTTGCCTGCTGCCGAGTGCCGCGCCGACACGGCGCCGCCGGCCGCCAGGGCGGCTAACGAGTCCGCCCCGATACGAAGTTGTTTGCCATCGGCGAAGAAAGCGCCGTCATCAAATTGTACGAGGACGATACAAGGTATTAATTGACCTGTATTTTATAGCAAAGAACTGCAAGCTCCTCGGCGCCCCAATTTTGAACTCAGAACTTAGAGCTTAGAGAACAGAACAAATAATCAAAAGAGATGTAAGGCCATTGAAACTATGCCTCATGTTTTGTCTTCAAAAGAAGACACAAATTTATTGCGTCTGCTTATGGACACCGGGTGCATCTTGCCTCCCATTGTATTGGTGAGTGCCAACCAGTGGTATATTAACTAGGCGTAATTATATTATTTCTTCAATCAAAAAAGAGGTGAAGAAATTCCTTCAAAATGTTAAAGTTGCTATTCTGTTTGATCGTACATTACCAGACACATTAAAGGCAACTGATGGTATTCACAAGTCAGGTTCAGAAGTAAAAGTAAACCCTGCTACTAAACCTAGCCTTGCCAAGAAATTTCTATCAGACACATCAAAAAAGTGAAGCCGAAGAACCCGCCTCGCAAACAAGCGATGGCGGCGACGGAGACAAAGGAGATCAGCACGCGGAGTACTCCTGGGGGCCTACCACAACCTCTTAAAACAATATTACTTTAACCTTACATTGACTTTTCGTACCATAACGCGCTTAAAGTGAGCTTATTGTAATGTTAAAACTATGATGTTTTATTGGCAGCTTTATGACTATTCATTCACTCAGTTCGTACTATGACGTGACTTTAACATTAAAGTAACATTGCTTTTATGTCAAATTTAGCAATCTTAAAATGGTTACACGGATGCAATGAAACCAATATTATTTTCAATTTTATTTTAAGACAATATTTATAATTATTATTGATTTGTAATGATTAAAAGTTAAGTTGATCTTATTTATTTACATATATCTCTTGAATATTTTGTTTATTTTTATATAATGGCACATAGTAAATAATTTTTCGTTAAATAAAAATACGCGCTGTTTATTTCGTAAAATTATAACAGCGCCATCTATATGCTCCTTGGCGAAACTAACAGTTGACACTATACTAGTTCCGATTCACAACGTGACTATCAAGACTCCACTTGTTTTATTTATTTATCTTCATGAATATGCGGAAAAACAATGTGATTTTAATAGATTTTTATTATTACATACTTTTCTTTTCCTAACTACTTAACTTAAGTAAAAATTCTCTAAATGTAAATAACATTAAGTACTTAAACATTATACTACGATAAGACGATTCGGAACATCAAAAAAGAAAGAGATTTCATTATGTATAGTGCAACAATTCCGGATATAACTAATTTCTTGCAAAATTGTATAGTGACGACGGTGTGCAATACAGGACGCTCAATTCGTGTTGTTCTGCCTTGACTTTAATTATTAGTGGACATGTGGGATACGATAAGTACTTAAAAATGTTATTTAAAGGCATATTTCGTTCGCGACTTCCGCGACCAGAGCACATGGCTAGAGTATGACACAACATTTCCATCGTGCTGACGTTCCTAGAGAAGCTACACCCCAATGAATCCTTGTTACTCTAAAACATTTCTAAAAAGCTTATTTCGTTATTATTTACTTATTTCGTTCGTACAGACACTCTCGAAAAGAAATATAGATAACATCATGTACACTAAAAATTACAGCATTAATAAAAACGTTCAGTCTAGTATTTTCAGCCGATTTTAGTTTTACCTTTTTTAATCAGAAACTGACCATATGCCCAGCTCTCACTTTACAGAGCTATTAAAATAAAACTCTTTCCCTACGTGGGACTGTCAAGGGTCTGTTTATCAGCTCGAAAAAACCTCACAAAGCCGTTTAGGCTAGAAGCGTAGTCGCTGGATACGCTGTACGCTACATGGCCACTGTCATGTAGCAAGACGCAACGGCTCGCGGCGTACGGCGCATATAGCGCACAACACTGCCACCTCCGCTGCAAGGCGTGCAGGCCTCGGCATCGGCACTATACGTCGCACAGCTGGCTGTTTCTCTAACTGCAACACTTTTTCTGTTTTTATACAGACCCTTGATTGACTATAACTTGAACGATGATTCTTTCGCTCATGCTATTACAGGTACTCTTGTTAAATACACTGCTATAATATATATATATATATATATATTATAGCAGTGTATTTAAGCAGTGTATATATATATATATGTATATATCGCTCGTATATATGCATATATATATAGATATATATATAGATATATATATATATGTATATATACGAGCTCTATACCCCACCTACGGTGGGGTCGGGCTCGGCCTGCAGCGCGCGGTCGCTTTCAGATTACGGGGTGTGCTTATGCTCTTCGGTGGCACAGAGATTGGTACTATGGGAGTTTGATGAGGAGGTTGCAGATTCGATCCCTTATTTGAGCCAATTTATGAAAAAAACATTTTTAAGTTGGTCCTGGTCAGGGTATCCTGGGTATTGCCTTCAGAATTATAGTTATTCGGGTACTCATAGTACAGGAAATTCCCTAGTTTGAGACCAGAAATTTGAAGTGATGGTCTGGCATTTTTTCCTAAATACTTCTCTTTTTGGCATAGCTTCCAATAAAAAAGAATCTAACAGTGAGACAGTCGAGACACAACAACACTATAAGTTGTAAAAGTAAATAAGATATTATTTCCACTACATCGGGAAGTATGCCTTACATTTTGAACAATTGTGAAATCTAGTCTCTCTCTAGCTAGTCTATCTAGCTAGTCCCCGTATACTACCTACGTAAGGTGGCGTGCGGACGTTTCGGGCTTCGGCTTCGCACTCCGCTAGACCTCGACCTATGGCCTCAGCACTTATGACTTAAAAAAAATTAACATAGCTTTTTAATGGCGGCCATGTTGATAAATGGCAAAAAGTAAATTTTGACTGTAAATTATTATTAAACACCCATAGAGTACTAAACCCATACTAAACTCCTCATGGCGATTTTCAGTAGAAATTTGTAAGGCAGCCATATTGAAAAATGGCGAAAAATAAATTTTGCTGATTTTCAAGTGAATTAGAGCAAATTTTCATCTACCGCCAAAAAATATGTTATATACGGTAACTCCGACTGATTAATATAAGGATCCCCAATGTTTTGTTTAAATGTGTTTTCTTAGTATCAAACCAACAATAAATAAAATCTTGAGTTGATGATGATGATGATTGATGAAATTATTTCATTCTCTATATTTCTTCATACTCCACATGTACAGTCTACACACACCATATGCACATCAAGCTATACACTTTTGTTCGAATATGGCTCCAGTTCAACGGAACAAGATCCGTCTATGTGTACCGTGGTGTGCTGCCATCTGTACATAGATAGCGTATACATACGTGTACAATCAATATTTCACGACTATCTCTAAAAGTGTACTAGTGCTGTTTATATGCTAATCTTAATTAATGATTAAACGAACTTACCTGTACGTGGAGTTCTATCATAGATTATACGAAGAATTCGTCCGAAGAGATTAGCATCCCACTCCCATGGACACATTCTAATTTTGCCTAGTCAGACATTAGACATTATCACATTCCTTAGTGCCATCTAATCGTGAAATATTTCTAATTAATTAACGCTCTTAACTAAATGAAATGGCGTGGTCGAGCAGTGAACAAGTAAACGAGGTGTAATGTCAAAAAATTTTTATTTTAATATAGTGCGAAATATTATATAATATTGTTTATATGCTAATCTCTTCGAACGACGCCGTCCGTATAAATATGGTAGAACTTCACATACAGGTAAATTCGTTTAACCATTAATAATCCTTATATGACGCATTACGGCGCGGCGAGGCGACATGGCTATGGCGATGGCGGTCCGGCCCAGAAACGACGTCCGTATAAAAACACAACTGAGGGAGAAATACTTACTGATTTTTTTTTCTAAACGAAATCTTTAATCGCGTGTAATCTTTATTTTCTAATATTAAAATAACTATAATAATAATAAGCTCAAACCTGAAATAAAACTCGGCACTGCTGGTACTGTTTGCAATCTTTGCTCTTTGTCCCGATCCTACGCAATTTATCCACTCTTCATCGCAATACGCCCAGGGCAGAGGGTTGTCGAAGCTCTTGTACAGATAAAATAGAGAAATTGCTATCATGGACATATAGTACGATAAGATGTAAAATGTTCCAAGTGCTTGTGCCAAGCCACCACCTGTAAAAACATTTTTAAATCAAAATCTTCAAATTTGAAGGCATAACGTAAAAAAATTAAGCTAATTAATTAATTAAGCTATTTTAAGGACAAGTACCTAAATATGTTTTTGTCTACTGTTTCTATCTTGGAGTAAGCAAGCAGCCACAAATTGTATGTACCCAATGACCCTTAAGGATATACTTAAATAATTATAACTTTTTTATAAGAGAAAGACCTCAAAAGTTTTTGGAATTACATCTATTTGTCAAGTTTTATTCTAATCGGTTTGCGCAAAATGCGTGAAATCCAATAAACCGGATTCATCCCCAAAAAAAGTTGGAATATTTTCTTCAAATTTGAATGGGGCTACTACTGAGATACCCCTTTCCAACAAAAAACGAATCATCACAATTTGTTCACAAAATGTCGGAATAATCGCGTAATATACACAAAAAATACAGTCGCATTGAGAACCATTCCTTTTTTATATCTGGATAAAAAAGGCAGATGTGAATAACTTATGATTATGCAAAAACGGCAGTTCATTACGCAGGACGTCGACCTACTCATACTCCTACGTGGCGGACTTCTAGCAGTGAACGAAGCTGTAGTCTCGCAGGACGGTGGGTGTATCCTGCGTGGCATTACGGAATGGCTTGCACATTTAATTTAATTTTAATTTATTTAAATTTTATTCATTATCCTGCATTGCAGTCCGCCTTGCCGTCCGCCGCGTAATGCAGAATTATGAATGTAGTCGCAGCCTGCAAGCCATCCTGCAATCCTGCAATGCGTTCTGCGAGACTTTATACGTGGGTCATACGCAGGATAGTGTGTGAGCAGTCTCCTGCCTGCGCGGGCGGTGGACTGCCATGGATGTAGTGAATGGGCCGTTTTAGTCATCAATTTGGTAGATGTTATAGACGGGAAACTTATTTATACATATTTGTAACGCACGTCTTTATACTATATTACACTATACCATCACTTCTTGCCTGTATATGAAAACAAATTAGAATTTAAAAAAAATCAAGCCAAAACGTCAACTAAACTTACATTTTTTTAATGCAGAGTGATTTTTGTATTTAGAATGTAGACATACATTTACGTATTTCTCTAACCTTTGAGTAAATGTTATAGTTTTCTGTTATAGTTTTTAAAACAGGCCAATTATTACAAAGTTTGCAAAGTACCTATTCACACGTATGATTAATGGTATAATTAAGTTTTTGATACCGATTAATGCTTACTGCTAGATAGTAGATAATGGTAGACGAAAAGAAACAAAAATATAAGACTTTTTTTATATCAGTTGGTGCCCGCGACTTCGTCTGCGTGGAATAAGTATTTCGAATAGCCTACCCATCGCTTATTTTACTTTTAAGGGGTAATTGGTCAAAAACGCTAAAACATTATTTATTTCTTACAAAAGACATAAATATGAATTTCCAGATCCTTTATTTGAGAAACGATTGGTTCTCCATACGAACTTTCAACATATTTAACTCCCTTTAAGATTAATTTTGTGACAAAAAGTAGCCACGTCCCATTAATCTTCATACCAAAATCCATCAAATTTGGTTTAGCGGTTTAGGCGTGAACACGTAACCGACTTTCGCATTTATAATATTAGTTTGGACTAACTTACTACATATCCAGTGTCAAATTCCGATTGAATTACTGTTCTCGGACTCAAATCTTTGTAATGGGAGACATTCGACCCAAAAATCATCAAGGGTGACACAGTTTTACAAATAATTACTTACTGGTACCTAATTCTTATGTTGGTTTCAAATCACTTGAATTATTATTGAACAAAATTCAACATAAACACGACTTCAAGATAAATATTACAAATAGACTTATCGAATTTTGGGGAAAAATATTAAATTGTGTTAACTATAAAATACTCTCGAGATGAAAACCCTAAAAATCATATGATTTGTTTGTTGACATTTATTTTATATCGAATTCGGCTAGAGTATAGCTATTATTAACGTAGTACAAATAAAAAAATACATAAAATTTTAAATTTTTTGTAAGTACCAAGCAACATTAATTTAATTTTTGAAGACCGTTGCACAGATTAAGTATTTATTAGAACTACGTAACTGTTTCTCTATTAGCAATAAAGTGTTTACTTAGACACTATAAAGCTGCCACCATGCCAAATATATTGTAATTGTAATAAATGTGTAAAATATTATGGATTTTCTAAAGAATATTCGTATTTTAACAACAAAGCAATTTTATTTTGACCTCATTTTATATTTATATTGAACTGTGTGATTATATGGAATAAATCATCTCATGACACATAACGTTTACATCTTGTATTAGGCTTATAATTAACGAAAACCATATCATTTAGGTGAGGTTAGACAGGTAAGTTAAATACCTATAATGCACAATGTTGAACGTTTCCCGGCCACTTACCTCGTAACGCTGGTACCATATCCCACATTTTTACACAATTGGAACTACTAAACTGTCCGAGGAAAGTCTCCAAGAAAAACAACGGCCCACCGACAAGAACCAACAACAGAAGGTATGGTATGAGAAAAGCGCCGCCGCCGTTTTTGTAGGCGACAAAAGGAAATCGCCACATGTCGTTTCCCAGCCCTATTGCAGTTGCGATACAGTACACTATAAATTCCAGCTGTCCGTGCCATGATATGCTCTTGTCGACACCCGAACCCTCCTGTAGATTATTAAAAAATTGTAGCTCAATCTTTACATCAAAACAGGTATACGAGTATATCATACTTTTTTGATAAAATAAATGTTTCATTGCATATATGTTATTCTCAGTTACATGTTTATCAGCTAATAAATTGATTGATGTTATTAATATGTAAGTATAATAGGTATCTACATAATTTACATTTGGGTATATATAAGTACCTACTTGTATATATCCCGAATTGGGTCTTTGTACGAAGATTGTAGGATTTCGAAATTAGTACGTACCAAAATCAATTTAACTTTACAGTACATCATTTTTCGAGTGACCTTTCATTTCAGGAAAGTCCTGAACGAAAACTTAATGAAGCTGAAACGTGGGTCGACTAATAAGTTTGATTGCCTGGGCATATAAAAAAATCTAAAACCTTCGTATACTCCTTTTATTATCATCCGCCAAAATTATAACAGATGGAGTGGTGCTCTAATTAATATAGATAATATTGAGACCTACATCTCGGTACGTTTGTATGTATGTCCTTGGACTGATTTTTACTAACCGAAATTGTATGAAGTCTTTTTTTAGCTTTTTCTTGCGGCGACAAATCGAATGCTCCTTCCTTTTTTAATTTCGCTTTAATTCGTGCTATGTTTGATCCTTTACACTTCCTCTCATCTTTGACGATATCTGAGTGGGATTGCGACTGTCATCCCATTGAAAAACGAAACGTCAATAAAAATTCAGGCAGATCAAATGTTTCGGAATTGAATCCGCAGGTCAATTTTGGTAACAGGATGAAGAGTAATGTCTTGAGTCTAGGTGATCCTTCTGGCGGGACCACTAATATAATCTAGTATTTAGTGTACTAAATCGTAGGAAAACCGTCGGCTTAATAAGATTGCTAGAACTTGAATTATTGTTATAGAAAAGTAATATAGATACGTACACAGGTTGCATTGAAATTAACGTCTCCTTTCAGAAACATTTGAGCATTTTCAAATAATATCTAAATTAAATGTACGTCAGAGCAGTATCTCTAGATGGTTGCCTGGAATAATATTGTTGTAATATATATTAGGTAACTATATTGTGTTTTTCATAGGTTTAATTGCAATAGGTACGTATAATGTTTAACCTTAAGTTTTGTTCTTTTTTGGTAGTATAATTCCTCAATTCTATCTAAAGTTTTTGAACATTGACGCCGTAAAGTCAACGGTATTGTTGCCCAAATTTTACTTTTGGGAGTATTTCAAATTCAAATTTATGAGATTGACGGCGAAATCCAATGGAAACAAAACTAGGACAAGCGCTTGTCATTGTTCTGAGGCAAAGATAAATATTACGTCCATACTAAGTCTATGGTAGACACTTAGACTATGGAAACCAAAGGACATGTTATATTGACATATATAAAGTTAGAGGATGGAAAAAAATAAAAGAATATATAAAGCAGACGTTATATGTATATGATGCATTTAGACGTTGAAAACATAAACAATTTATTGTCTTTGTTTAACTACTGCGTGCCGTCGTAGGCCAAAAGCTTAGAGGATGGAAAAAAATAAAAGTTCCATAGTCTAAGGCCAAAAGAGATTGCACTAAATTGATTTATGTCAAACACGGGAATCGAAAATATGTAACGTCATATTAAATGCCAACTGTTCTCATTTTACAATTTTTGGAGTACCCTTTGATAACCGTGTCCGGTTGTCAAAGAGAAGTACATCAAATGTCAAAACCAATGTTTGGCCAAATGTTTTATTGAATTATTCGCATGAATTGTAATGAAATGGAAATGAATATTGACAGTGAGGACAATTAAGTATTGATTAAAATACGTCGCTGCAGCATTAAGGGGTTGCGGCAGTAGAAAATCGGAAATCAACCGAATGTTATATTACGCATGTGTTATTTTTCTGCCTATAAATCATACAATTGCCCAAATATCTCATGTAATTAGACTCATTTAAGTAGTTTATTCATAAGTCTTGCCGAATTTTGCTTTGGTTACTTTTGATTGCCTGTGTGTCAGATTTCCTTTTTTTTCCATCTTCTAAGGGCTTAGAGGATGGAAACTTAATTATAGTCCTCAACTGTTACTACAACCTGTGACTAGCCAACACAGGGAAACGGCAATGTGTCCCGTCAGAGGGCCACAGGCGAGGTGTGTGTGGGGGGGGGACGAACTCGGCCATGCTGACGGGGTGAGTATGTGCGGAACACCTGGCTGACTTTGATCGGGTCAGCCAGCCGCACATTTCGAGCCCCCGATGTCGCGCAGTGAGCTCCTAACCTCTGCACCTATACTCTCCTGATAATCCTGGTGTCCCGAATTGGACATCCCCAAAGGTGCGGGCTCCGTGGTGGGTGGGAAATCAGGAGAGTGAATCATAAGAACATTGCAACATGGATTCTGCAGATCAACTAAAATTATTAATTATTAAATCACCCAAAACCGGTGGTACCGGGGGAAACCCAAAAGTGCCCCATCAAGCACAAACTCGAACGTACAGCAGCGCCCTACGGTGAGTGGTAGGCCAAAGGGGAAACCTCAAGGCCAACCGCGTACCTATGCCTGTGCTGGCCCTACATCAGCGGTAGCGGCCCGAGGCTCGTGCTCTGTGGCCCCCGCTCAGACACCTGGCTCTGCATCGCAGAACCCAACATATACAGCCCTTGAGGCTGGGTGGACTCTGGTGAGTCGCAAGCCCAAAACCACGGCACCCATCGATAAGGAAGGGGAAAGTGGCCAGGGCGAGCGACCACCTCCAGCTCCCAGTGGGAGCAGGGGACGCCCTTTTTTTTTTTTACGGGGGGGAAATCTTTATGGATACCCCTGAGCCCAGGGAGACTCAGGGGTTATGTGGGGACTCTCCCAGACTGGAGGGCCTACCCCACTAAAACCCCCTCCGGGTTTCCCTCTCGCCGGTTGAGTCGGCGCCGTGGGATCAGTGAACATTCACCACGACGCCGCCCGGCCGCCCTAGCTTACGCCAGGGCTCCCGCGCCAACGGAGGGGCGAGTCGGTTGTCCTCCGACCCGCCCCCCAGACGAGTGAGGCCGTGCAATGCAGGCTCCGGAGTCCCTGTCCAGAGCCCGCTGGTCTCACTAGGGGATCAGGCGAGCAGCGAACTGCCTTCGCCTTCTCCCCGTACGTCTGCGCCGGAGCGGGTACGCGTCTGCCGCATCCTCGCGCACCCGCTCCGCGGCCTACTTTTGCGACATAACCTCTGCGCAAAAGGAGGCCACCGCCTCCCAGGACTCCTCGCTATCGAGCATGGCGGCAACCACGCTGCTCATCCCACCGGCTACACACCTCTAGGGTGTGCTGCGCGGTGTCATCCGCAGCGCCGCACTCGTGGCACGACGGGGACGGTTCCCTCCTCGCCACCTTGTGCAGGTAGTGACCGAAGCAGCCGTGCCCGGTCAGCACCTGCACAAGGTGGTACGACAGTGGCCCGTGGGACCGGTTTACTCACTCTACGAGGACAGGGCGGATCGCCTCTATGGTACGAGCGCCATAGGGGGGATCCGCCAAGCCCTCTTTCCACCGGTGCCGCATGCGCTGCGCCGCGAGGCGGCGCTCCCGCTCCACCTCTTGGGGATCGGGTCGCCCTGCCCGAAAGAACAAACGGGGTCGACTCCGTGAACGTGAATGCCGCGAGGTGAAGGAAAATCCTAAAGAGGGAGAGGCGCGGCCCCCAGCGGCTGGCGGGAATGGTGCAGAGACCGTGTTTGTGCGACTCACTGGACTGGACTCGCACGCCTCTGGAAGGGCCCCCTTCCCCCCAAGGAACCAACAAACACAAAAGGCACAGAGGTCCTCGACCTATGCCAAACGTGCCCGTCTCGACGAGACATTTTCTCCAAGAGGCGAGCACAAAAGGCAAAAAGTCGAGAGGACTGGGTAGTCCAGAACGTATGCCGAGGCCACCGCACTGGAACTTCTAGCGGTGATCACTTCGGCCAAGACTGGTGACATAAGGAGCCTTGATTCAGACATGATACAGAAGGCCCTTTGTGAGCGCCTCTCTCAAGGAGCAGAGGAATGCGGTGAGGAGGACGTCGGCCCACAGGTCCGAGGTAAACCCGTCTTTAGCGACGGGTTCCTAAAGCTGTGGTGCCAGGACAACGCCACCTTCCAATGGCTAGAGGACGCAATCAGCACCATCAGGCTGCCCACCGGGAAGCCCTTCTCATTGAAAAATGGGGCGGAGGCTCCCCGGAGGGCGGTCTGTGCACTGCTGATCCCCGGTCATTGGGAGGTCCACAGATGGGTTGTCCACAGGTTGCAACAGCAACAGGGAAACACTTTTGTGGTGGTAAGGCTACCTGAGGACCTGGTACCTGTTATCGTGGGGCATGGCCGGCGCTTTACTTTTCAGTTGGGCACGGTCTACCTCCGATTCAGGTCAAGAAGAGGAGTATACACGGATGCCGCACCTAAAAAGGCAGGTACGTCGACCAACAAAACAGATGCCTCCCCGGTGCCCTATACCTCCACTGGCTTCACCAGAGAAGGAAAAGGGCCCTCTCTGACCCCGGTCCCTGTGGACGTCGTCAGCCATACGGTGGCGTTCAATAGTGAGGACGAGTGTGTGTCGGCGATGGGAGACATCTGCCTGAGCTGATAGCTGGAGTGAAGTAAAAGTTATTTTTATACCGAAACCAGGTAAAAACGACTACACTGATGCAAAATACTTCAGACCGATCAGCCTCACATCGTTATTTTTGAAGACGCTAGAGAGGCTATGTGACAGAGAACTGAGGGACGGAGTCCTAAAGAACATTCCATTACACGGAAACTAACATGCATACTACCAAGGCAAGTCCACCGAATCGGCCCTACATGCCGTTGTCGGCAAGATAGAAGAGGCCCTTAAAAGCAAGGCAATCTGCCTAGGCACTTTTATAGATATTGAAGGAGCCTTTGATAAAACCAACTTCTCCAGCATACAATCAGCACTAAGAAGACACGAAGTGGATGAAGTGCTGATCAGCTGGATTAGCAATATGCTCAAACAAAGAACAATAAGAACAACAGCGAAAGAGACCCCATGGACCGTAGTAACGAAGGGGTGCCCTCAAGGAGGAGTACTGTCGCCTCTGCTATGGAACATGGTCGTAAATGATCTCATCACCAACCTAAACAAAGAACATTTCTATACAATAGGATATGCTGATGACATAGCCATACTGATAACAGGCAATTATGCCAGTACACTCCGTGTCATTACACAAGCTGCACTCCGGATTGTGGAAAAACGGTGCAGAGCATATGAAATAACGGTAACCCAACAAAAACAGAACTAGTAATGTTTACAAACAAAAGATTACTGGGTAACTACCTACTACCCAAACTCTTTAGTACAGAAATACAATTATCAACCGATGTCAAGTACCTGGGAGTAATACTGGACAACAAGTTGAACTGGAACAAACACCTGGACAACAACATTAAAAAAGTTACTATCACCTTCTGCAATGCCGTAGAATGGTAGGTAAACAATGGGGACTTTCACCCAAGATAACACTATGGCTTTACACAGCGGTGATAAGACCTATGATTAATTACAGTGCGATAGCCTGGTGGCCACGAACCAAGCTGACGACTGCAACTAACAAGCTGGACAAATTCCAAAGGCTAGCATGCATGGCGACGACCGACTGCATAAGGACAACTTCAACTGCGGCGCTCGAAGCGGATACTGAACCTGCGACCCCTCCCACTGTTTATCAGACAGGAAGCGGCGTCAACAGCAGTGCGACTAAAGAGAGCCGGTCTTTGAAAGCACATGACGGCCCCACATACAGATATCTTTTACAAGATAGTCAAAGAGGAACCGCTACTGGAGGCGACTGTGGATAGGATCCCAAAACAATACATTTTTGACAAAAAATACAGGATACAATTGTTTGAAGATCCCAACGAAGGATTAAACACTACTAACAGAGAGGTCCGCGTATTCACTGACGGATCAAAAACAAACTCAGGAACAGCTACTGGGGTATTCTCAGAAGACCTCAATATCAGAATATCAACACCGCTTGGTGATCACAACACAGTATTCCAGGCTGAATGTATGGGTATCAAGTTGGCAGCAGAAGCAATAATAGCGAGAAGAGTGTGGAATCACTCCATTCGAATACTCTCCGACAGCATGTCAGTACTTCAAGCGCTGAGCAGCTATAACATTAACTCGGGGTTTATATATGAATGCCATCAAGCACTCATGGAGGTATGTACACCCACGTAACTCTACAGTGGATTAAAGGACACAGCGGCTCACGTGGCAACGACGCAGCAGACGAACTAGCTAGAAAAGGGTCGGAACCCATAGTGGGACACTATGGGTTCCCCTACCAATGGTCAAGAACAACTACTCAAAGGTACAAAATCTTCTCATAATAACATATGGACAACTCTTACGGCTTGTAGACAGGCTAGGGAAGCACTCCCAACGCTCAACGCCAGTCTATCTCGTAAATTAATCAAACTTGAAAGACAAGAGCTGCGCACTCTATCTGCCGCTCTAACAGGCCATGGTCCATGCAATAAACACCTTTTCAATTTAGGTATCACGGACAGCCCTCTATGCAGAGCGTGCATGGAGGGGGAGGAAACGGCCGCACACATCCTACTAGAGTGCTCTGGTGTGGCCAACTACAGGGCAAAGTACCTTGGAGTGCCGAGGTCGCTCCCCGAAGTCTTCAGAAAACCGAAGAGGTTGCTGAGATTCCTGGAGGAGCTTGGGTGGCACGAGTAGGACCCTGCAGCCACCACACGCAAAATGGGCGCCTCGACGTCGAGTTGCGGAAACTAGCCCGTTGCACCAATATCAATACCAATACCAAGTAATAACTTTCTTATCTACTTATTAACAAACGTATAGGACCTTAGATATTTAAAAAAAATCGCAAATCATATTCAGGAGTCTGAAATGACATTTTCCAGAAATAACGTTTGCCCGAATTTTCATAACCTAAGTAATTTTGAGAGGAAAATGCTTTTCTTTTAAACCTAACTTAACCTAACCTTTTTTTTTTTTTATTACCGTGAGGAAAATGCGTTACGCATTCCCCGCCACTGGGAGACGGCGGGGGTATGTGGGACTCTCTCCTGGGGACTATGTCGATCCCCAAGAGCATACCCACTAAAAACCTCACGATGTTCCTGCGCGCACCTGGCGCCGGAGCCGCGGGGTCCCTTTCAGATGCTACCGCGACTCCGGTGGTGCTGGTCCGCCTTTGGGCGGACCCCTACACCATCGCCCCCTTAATCCTTGGGGGGCGACCTGCACGGAGATGCCCCGGAACATTTGGGGCATCTACCGGCGGCGGAGGCCTGTGCAATGCAGGGGCAGGGTCTCCCAACCCCGCACCCTGCTGGCCTCCGCTGATGGGACGCAGGCGGTCGGCGAAGAGCCGTCGCGTGCGTCCTCTCCGCCGACGCCGAATGGGGTCCGAGAGGGCGCTGTCTTCGCGGACCCGTTCGGCTGTCTCCTTCTGCGACATCACGTCCTCGCAGAAGGAGACCATCGCCTGCCATGACCTCTCGCTTTCCAGCATGGCTCTAACTATGCTGGGCAGTGAGAGGTCTCGTCCCACCACCTCTACGAGATCCCGGCGCTGCTGGCTCCAGGTCGGGCACACCTCCAAGGTGTGCCTCGCCGAGTCTGTAGCAGCGCCGCACTCGTGACACTCCGGGGTCACCTCCCTCCGTGCGATCTTGTGCAGGTAGTCACCGAAACAGCCATGTCCGGTGAGTACCTGAACAAGACGGTAGGTGAGGGACCCGTGCCTCCTCTTTCTCCAATCAGCCAGTACAGGGAGCAGCGCCTGGACGGTGCGCTCCCCGTATCTGGCCGATCGGAGTGCCTCCTCCCACCCCGCCTGGACGGCGGTCTTGTAGTGTGGGGCGCTCTCCACGTGCCCTGGCTTCCGCACGGCACCTGTAAGTCTGCTCGAGGACGGACGCCTCGAGCTCCCAGGGTGCGGATCCAGCCAGGGCGCATGCCGCCGCTCCGGAAACCGTCCGGTACGCCCGAATCGCCCTCACCGCCATTAGCTTCTGCGGCCTGCGCAGAAGCGGCCGCAGTCTGGTGGTGAGGGCCTCCGCCCAGATAACTTAACCTAACCTAACCGAACCTAATCGTGTCTTTGCGATAAACATCCAACATATTCTGAAAGAATGTTTCGTTATAATTCGGTTTTCGGTGTAATGAAAATTCGAACAAACGATATTTTGGAAAAAAAAATCGAGTTTGTGATAGCTTACACTCTCTCTCTCTCCAAAGCCATTCAATCAAAATCAAGAACAGTGTCTATTCTTTTGCTTGAATAAAGACATGCTATTTAATCGAGGGCTTTCTAACATTGCAATCGTGTGACCAAATCAAAGTGGCTTATAGGTAAGTATATAATTCATAAATATTAGCATTTAATCTACATTTTAAAAGTTTTTTATTGCACGTAACAATTTATTACGATTACTTCTTATGCAAAATATGCTTTTAAAATAATATCCGTGATATTTTATTGACAATTGTTTTTTGGGAGTGGAAAGTGGTACACATAGGGCGCAATATAAGTTTCCGGAACTGGTTACTTACATAAACAATATTTAAAAACGTAACTACAACATTTGAAAATTGTTTCATCTGACTGTCACTTGTTTTTATATTGTGGCGTCATTTTAGAAATTGGTTGTCTACATAACCATGGATTTAACTCGTGAAAATTTTCGTGGTATGATGTTCTACGACTTTAACTGTAATTGAACAGCTTAGCGGAGCTTCGCTCGGCTTCAAACTGCTTTTGGCGATGAAGCACCATGCAAGACGACTATTTATAGCTGGTTTGCAGAATTCCAACGCGGTCGTATGAATCTCGTGTGTGTGTGACGAAGTGACAGTGACGAATTTCGTGATGGTCGCCCGTCCACTGCTGTGAATAACAAAAACATCGATGCTGTGCGCCGTATGATCAACAGACAGGCATGTGACATACCATGAGATTCGGGCATTTTTAGGCATAGGCATGAGTCAAATACAATCAATACTACACGAACATTTGGGTGTGAAAAAGCTGTGCTCTCGGTGGATTCCACACAATTTGACTGAGGCCCAAAAAACAGATTGCGTCACTTGGTGCAATGACATGTTTACCAGATTCAACGAAGGGGTGTCAAGTTTGGTGTGGGGACATAGTAACAGGTGACGAAACATGGATTTATAGTTACGATCCCAAAACAAAGCAGTAATCAAGCGTATGAGTCTTTCAAGATAAGCCGAAACCAACCAAAGTGGTGCGCGTGCAAAGTGCCTCAAAGCGGATGATTGCTTCTTTTTTTAATAAAACTGGACACGCTGGCTACTGTTGCCTTCGAAAATCGTTGTACCGTGAATAGTGATTGGTAGACGACCATTTGTTTGCCGGAAGTTATTGACAAACTCCGTAAAAATAAACGTAAACGCGGTATCATCTTGCACCACGATAATGCCAGTTCTCACACGGCCAGATAGACAAATGAATTTTGCGAAAGTGAACAGCGTTGATCTTATGATCCATCTCGCGTACAGTCCCGACCTGGCACCTTGTGACTTTTATTTTTTTCCAAAAATTAAGAACTAGTTAGGCGGTCGACGATTTTCATCACCTGAAGAGGCTGTCGAAGAGTACAAAAATATGTTTTAGAGATTGTCACGGAGTAGCGGCATAAATGTTTTCGAAATTGGTTCATTTGTATGAAAAAGTGCATTAACGCTAACGGAGAATAGTTTGAGAAACAATAAATTCATTTCTGACCATTTATAGTATTTTTTTCTTATTAATTCCAGAAACTTATAGTGAGCTCAACGTACATAAACAAAATGTTCTAAATAGTGTGCTAAATTTATTTACAATTGTTGGAATTACATACAAATTGCTGGTAAAACATTAAATAAAGGAATGTATACGTCTTGTTTTGTTAGGCGCTAAATCCTTTTATTACGATAGCTACCAATAACACTGAGAAGCATATGTTTAAAATGATTCGTTGTTCGGTTCTTTCGTTCAATCTTTGCATCTCTCCGGAAAGATTTCCATTCGTCGAAATCGGTTTGTATTGATGGACCATAGGTGCTCGATTTGCGGAATGCACAACGGACAGTCTGGAAACAGAATAAGATGCGGATCACACTTCAGCCTAAAAATTTCAGAAATCACTATTTTACGTTTACTTAACAAAATAGCGATATATAATTATTTTTTTCTGAATACTTTAGAAAAAAAATTGTGAATGATGTAAGTGTTGACATGGTCTGCGATGCTGACTATAGGCAACATGTGCAGTATATATCAAATATACTGTTGATTACTATGTCAAAAGGCCCCAGTATATGCCTGCTTCTTAGAGTTTCAAAAGCTTTTGACCTGTAGTGCGATTCACGTAAGTTCAAGCTATCAAAATATCATTGAAGTTACGTCGTCATTCGATCGAAGTCCTATCCAAAATGGGTATTCACGTATCACTTGAAGTGAGTAGAATCGAAACGAAACGACTAATGACCGACATCGTGGATTGTGAAATTTAACATTTAGTCGTCGAAAGTCTTTTGAAAGAACCATCAAAATTTTAGCGGAATACGTATGACTTGTCGTTTAGAGTCGATTTAAGTTCGATTCATATACCAGATTACGCTTTAACGACATTTGGATCGAACTACTTTAACCGCTCACGCGATGCGCTCATCCTACCGCAAAATGGCGGCTATTTGGTTTCGCAAATTAGAAAAGGATTCAGTTTAAACACAAGTTTAAAAAAATAAAAATTATTATTCTGCATTGCTAAATAAATACCCTCCGTACTACAACAAAAACATTTCAAATAAAATGCAGTAATACACCGCAAATCCTGCACTTAAAAAGCACTAATGAAATTTTTGGTGTACTTGGGTAAATATGATAATATTCCGTTTGAGTGGTTCTAACGTTTACCATGAAATTACACCTTAAAGTATAGTTTATAAACATTTATATTCAGGGTAAACTTAAAAAACGCAACTTACGGTATGTTTTCAATAAATAAACACCGACATCACCAGCCCAAACAATAACACACACGATTGTCGTGACGTATTTTTGAAGTTGTTTATTTTTTTAAATGACAGACCCAGGCATTAAAAACTTTATGGTTTGCTAGACTAGTTACCGAAATAGCAATTAGTATTAGTTCTTTTACCTGTTATAACTTCGATATCCGATAAATCGGTATAAAATCATCACCGGCACCTCTAGGTGTGGTATGCTTCCAGAGACGCATGAATCGCGTGAGCGGTTAAAATTGGATGCGTTGACGTTCACTGTCACACGTGAATACGAAAAAGCAGTTCAACGACTAAATCGCTACGATATCGTAACGGTTTGATTACGTGAATCACCCCACTGGTGTCATATGATTATGCTCTGGACAAAACTGATGAAAGCGGGCAAACGCTCAATCTGTTGACTATGTTTTGAGCTGTGGTATGAAGCAGAGGGGGTTAACACATAGAGCATTGGCCGTCTTTTTAATGTAGCTTGTCCACAGACTGCGTGTAAAAGGTCTTAAACGCCTTGAAAAAGTTAGTGTTAACATCCCCATCACAGCGTGCAAACCTGCGCTCTCTTTCTTTGTCTACATCATCATAGAGGTTCTCGGTAACCCAGTGACCAAGGTACGTAAATCGTGTCACTCGTTTGAAAGGAGCTCCACACAGATGCACAGTTGAGGTTGATAAGAGGGCTTTGTTACCAGCCTTAAATACTAACAATTCACTTTTATTAGTATTGTACCTTAAACCAAGTGTCACCCCGTAAGTATTCATCACATATTTTTAACAGCCTAACGAGCGCACTGATCGAAGGGCACAGCTGCACCATATAATCCGCGTAACTTACATTATTGACTCTAGTGCCACCAATTGAGCATCCAATACCCGTTTTGCTGAGTCCTGCGATCAGTTCGTCGATGTACAAATTGAAGAACCTAGCTAAGTCCTCCCTATCTCGCCCCACACTCCAATTTGTACATATCCCAGAACGCACCTGCCCATCTCACTTGATTGGTTTGATTGGCATACCAAAAACGGAGCAACTCGATCACCTCTCCCAGCGTTCTTGTGCTCTTTTGCATTTTGCCCCAGAGGATATTATACGAGACCATTTCGAAAGCCTTCGAAAAAAACAAAAAACAGAGCAAAACAGAAGCTAACTTGCCGATCAAAATGACGATCCTCAGTAGAGACCATCTCCAACACCTCTCCGAGCGGACTCTATACTTTAAAATGCGCCCCAAACATATTTGCTATCCGTGCAGGCTCGCACCAACCGTCAACACTGCCTGGGATAGCAGTCTTAGGATTAATTTTATTTGTGTGCTTCCGGAACCTGCCAAAGCTGCCAAAGTCTTCAGCTTTGTGGTGTGTAGCTAAAACATTCATTTTTATTTGCGTTTCGGTGTCCTGACACCACTACAGCTTCTGCTTGAACAATTTTCCAGAAGCACACGTGTTCACATATAGCGGTCTAGTCACTGATAACTAACCGCTCACGCGATACATGCAGCCGTGGACGCATACCACACCTAGAGGTGCCGGTGATGATTTTATACCGATTTATCGGATATCGAAATTATAACAGGTAAAAGAACTAATATTAATTGCTATTTCGGTAACTACTCTAGCAAACTATAAAGTTTTTAATGCCTGGGTCTGTCATTTAAAAAAATAAACAACTTCAAAAATACATCACGACAATCGTGTGTGTTATTGTTTGGGCTGGTGATTTTGGTGTTTATTTATTGAAAACATACAGTAAGTAGCGTTTTTTAAGTTTACCCTGAATATCAATGTTTATAAACTATACTTTAAAGAGTAATTTCATGGTAAACGTTAGAACCTCTCAAACGAAATATTATCATATTTATCCAAGTACACCAAAAATTTAATGTTTGTGTTTGTGTAGTGCTTTTTAAGTGCAGGATTTGCAGTGTATTACTGCATTTTATTTGAGATGTTTTTGTTGGTAGTACGGAGGGTATTTATTTATCAATGCAGAATAATAATTTTTATTTATAAAATATTGTATTTAAACTGAATGCTTTTCTAATTTGCGAAACCAAATAGCCGCCATTTTGCGGTAGGAGGAGCGCATCGCGTGAGCGGACTAGGAGTCGGCTATTTTAAATTATACCTAAACAATCTTATTTTGTATATATATGACATATAAGGATATATTGACGATCTCGGTGGCGGTTTACACTTAGGGCGCTGGATACGGAGGTCTCAGTAGGACCAATTTGGGAAATGAACATTTCTAAATTGGTTCCGGTTTGAGTGTTCTGGAAAGTACCCCAGAGTGAATTTCTTTGCTCTGATACTCATAGTACAGGGAATTCCCTAGTTTGAGATCAGGCGTTTGGTGTAGTTTTCGGGCACATTAAATTACTCGTATTATAATATGCAAAGAAGCTAGTCTTTGATTGTTAAATCATAACATGGCAATTTAATTTCAACGAAATTATTATAATTTAATAATAGTTTCCGGTATTACAAAAATGAACTGAAAATGACGGGCGCAGTGGCAGTGCCCCTCAGATCTTTGCGATTTAAAGCTCTGAGTGGCACTGCAACCGTTATGGACAGGCGTGTAGCTTACCATCAGGCACACGATTTGTTCGTCCCGTCACTTGATATTATAAAAACAAACTAGAAACAGTTAAATGAGCTGGAGCTTATAAATAAGTTAGATTTATTATGCGATATATGTAGTGCAGGAGGTATTTATTCCAGGATATGGATAAAATTTTATGAGTTACAGACTCCGCGCACAACACAGCCCACATGAATTTTAAACTTAATAATTGAAGGTTAATTTTTACCTCTAAGAAACCATTAGATCTATGTTGGAACAACACTACAATGATAACTATAGGAACCACCACCATGGCAGCGTATTGAAGCATGTTGCCAGCAACTGAAAAAAAAAATTGAATTCTATTGTAAAATACTAAAGTATACTGTTATAGATGGCATACAGACTCCTAGTGACGTGCACGAAAGAATCCTACCCGCACGATGTACCATTCCTTTCTTGTACGTCTGGAAACATTGGGCAACAATCGGCTTTGGTCAATTGCCAAATGCTTTCACTATGATGGCAAGTATTATAATGTATGCCACACAAAAAGAAGACAGACACCTACAGTGTGTACTTGACCCACTTTTTCTAAGTGTTATTGCTTGATATTTGTTGACACTTGCATATTATATTTTTATTTTTACTTTTGTAGACTATTTGGTATATAATAGAATTAGGGAACGGTTGCTGCGTTAACCTGGTTGCTATTTCACAAAACTCGATAAATAGACACATTATCAGGATATATTGTATAGACAGACATGAGGTGACTCAAATGTTCCCTAGTCTCCTATGAGCATAATTTTGAGTAGTAGGCTAAGGATACTCACTGTAAGCAGCTGGTGGATATTCATACTCGTCTCCATATTTATAAATATCAGTTGTAACCATGGCATACATAAATACTGTGAACATAATACCAGGAGTCAATATAGACCAACATAACCGCCAGTATATGCCAGTTTTGCGACCAAGAGCACACTCAATATCGACGCAAATATTCTCCAAACCTGAAAAAACATACCAAAGTATCATAGAATAGAGTTCTAGAAAATGAAACAATTTTTTCGGGTGTAAAACGCGTATATATTTGGTTTTTTTTTCAAACAAACCGACGTTTCGGGCCCTTTACCGGTTCCATGGTCACGGTCAACCAGTTATGTCTAATAACGATGTAACAAAACACAACAAAAACGTAACACTTTCATTTCCTATGTGTAACAAGCCGCAAAATCCTAAGCACTCGATATGAACTATATTCTACTTATACCATTTTATACCGCACAATTTCGGGTCGCTTTACTTACCGTAAATCCAGAACACGCCAATTGTTTCAATAATAGCAGCAAATAATCTGGCAAACGTACCGCCATAAAAATCAACTAATCCAAAAATATATTGTCCTCCCTTAAATGAGAAAAGGTACGAGTTACATTCAAAAATCGAATTATAATATATAAAAAAAAGGAATATACGTATAGAAATAATAAAAAGGAAATCAATTGTATGAAGTGTGCAATAACTTACGGGAGTAACATAGACAAGTCCGGATAAAAAGCCCACTACGCACCCAATCGCAGTAACTACGATAAATTTGACGTTCGGTAAAGCATCTACGGCTATAATATTTATAGTGGAGAACAGCGCGACGCCAGAACCAACACCAAGGACCGCCATCATCAAGAAGAAGAGCACAGCGAAAAGCTGAAAAACAACATATTTTGAAGTATCGTACAAAAATAGTGTAAAACGGTAATATATTCGTAAAAATCTTTTTACATAAACTAATTGAAGAAATTGTTGTCAATCACCTGTGGCACGAAAGGATACTTTGCAATGGCGTCGGGGTAAGAGATGAACGCTAGACCGGTTCCACCAGAATTTATTACTTTCGTGATATCTGGTTGTCCCAATTCATGCCCCAAATTGCCCAACACAGCAAAGATCGTGATCCCAGAAATCAAACTTGTGAATGTGTCAAGAGTCGTCACTATCATGGCAGTCCTAAATGTAAGAATATATTAATGTTATATTATGCTATGATAATTATGAATATATAGTAATCATATGTAATATATAATATATAATATATATAATATATAGTAATCATATGTATTACAAGAATGAATATGTAGTACCTACAATCTATAAAACTAAAAAGCTACCAACCTGTAAACGTTTTGCTTGAATGTATTAAATGATGCAAACATAATAAGTGCGCCAGAACATACAGACAACGAGAAGAACACCTGGGTGACTGCCGCATACCATACCTGTAAAAATAAAATATAAGAAAGAAAGCCCTAAGCACTCCATCATTATGTCCTTTATATACCACCAACGTGTACGAAGCTTCCTCTACGAGTACTACCATCGACTTCGCGCATGTAGACTGTTAGCGGCCTTAGGAAGGCGAAAGCTTCTTGCGAATTGGAACAATGTGGCAGACGTTTTCGAGATCGTGGCGAAGCGTGTATCCCACATATAAGATATGTATGTATAAAGTAGTGCATTTTTATTGTATTTTTTGCAATTACAGGAATTACAAGTGTTAATTAGATCTTTTTATTTTATTATTTTTTTATTTTAATTAGATCTTTTTGAAACTATTTTTCCGGATTTAAATCGCGTATATTTGTTTTTTTCAAACAAACCGACGTTCAACGAGAGTCAGCCGTGACCATGGGACCTGTAAAGGGCCCGAAACTTTTGGTTTGTTTGAAAAAACAAATATACGCGATTTAAATCCGGAAAAATAGTTTTATTTCCTATGTGTAACAATCGCGAAAACCTAAGAACTCGATAGATCTTTTTGATTGGAACATACCTTGACTTCTAATATTTTTTTCCATTCTGGCGTTATAAAGAACAGAATTCCGTTCCCTGCTCCCGGTAGAGTCACAGCCCTGAAGAAACAAAATTAATAACACTTGGTTGGACAAATATGCTAACACCAAGATCTAAATTGTCCAACATTTGCATTTTTTATTCATCAGAGTGACTTACACCTATTCTACATATTTACTTCAAGCTATCAAACCACCTACCTACTAACTACTATAAGAAAAACAAGGTACCTGATAAGGAGGATAAATAAAACCACGTAGGGGAACAATGCCAAAAAGTATGCAGCTTTGCCTGAACTTTTAACTCCTCGATAAACGATGACAAATACTAAAAGCCAGGAAATAAATAAGCAGAGTGTCAAATCCCATAATGGCGCTCCTGAAACAATTTGTTGTCTTTTTCATTAATTTGAACTGTTTATAAAAAAATATTTGATAGTTAAGCTACAATTACAATTGATGATACTTATAGAGAAATGTAATAGTGAACAGAAAATGACTTTTCTAAGACAAAACTTTTTTTTATAAAATGTAAGTTCGCATTTGACCTCCATCTCACCTGATGGAAAGTGACGATGAGGTTGACGATGGATGAATGCCTATTCACTTTCGCCATGAAAAGGCTCAAGTTATAACGTTCAGGGAACGTGCAGGCAGGGAATTTCACTCCATAGCAGTTCGCCATATAAATGTGGAAGCGTAACGCTTCGTGCGAATCTTTGGAATATCTACAACATAGAGGTGGAACCCTAGTCTACGCCTAGTCACCTGGTGATGGAAAGGGGAAAGCGGAATTAAATCGTGTAATTCCATCGCACACTCTCCGTGATATATCCTGTAAAATACCGATAAGTTGGCAACTTTACGGCGGTGTTCAAGGCTCTGCAGCTTCGCCTCCAGTAATTCCGAGTCACCTTCTTGGCACGGTTGTCAATTGAATCCAAGGTGGCCAGTTGGTATGTAGCAGAGCCGTCCTAAAGGTGGCACCAGTACTCCATGCACGACCGGATTTGTGCTTGGTACAGCTGAAGCAACTGTCCCGAAGTGAAGTAACGCTTCACCCTGGAAAGGATCCCAAACTTCATTGTTGCATGTTTGGCCATGGATTCAACGTATCTGTCGAAGTACAAATTGGACGACAGGTCCATTCCAAGTAGCTAGAGACAGTCGGCTATCGGTATGGATATATCACGAAAAGTCGGAGTCAGCTCAAAGGGACTCCGTTTTGTGGAGAATAAACACGCCTGCATTTAAACTTCACAAGATTGGCATCGCCCCAATCGAGACTGCCTTGAGTGTCAAACCCAAACGGCTAACCATAGACTCTCGACAAGACTGATTTCCTCTCCACTGACCTTTGCATTGGTCAAGTACCTATCTACAACTGTGTTGTCATCAGCATACGCAAAGGTACCTGGAATTAACATATCATTGATTGGTTGCAGTAGAAAGAGAGTTGCAGATAATATGGGACCCTGAGGAATCTATCGCCATATGTTCGGAAGAGTAGCCTTCTAAGACCTCTCGAATCGAATGTTCGCTCAAGAAATCCGAGATCCATTTGCAAAGTGGGAAGCCCTTAAAAGGGAAGCTTACTTAAAAGGTTTGCGTGTCAGACCCTGTCAAAGGCTTTAGAAATATCCAAAGATACTGCAAGTGCTTCACTTTGCTTTTCTTTATCCTCGCTCCATATGTGACAGGCATACACAAGAAGATCCCCAGTTGATCGCCGTCGTCGGAATCCGTACTGGCGATCACTGAGCAGGTCGTTGTCGTCAAGGTACGACAAGAGACGGTTGTTGAGTACACGTTCCATAGTCTTGCAGAGTATGGAAGTGACTGAGATAGGTCTATAGTTGACAGAGTCAACTCCCTTTTTGGGCACAGGTTGCACGTTTGCAACTTTCCACGACCTGGGATCTACACCAGTCTCAAGTGAGAGGCGGTACAGGCGTAGGCGTGTGAGAACAGGAGACAACTCAGGCGCACAGTTACGTAGGACTAGTTCTGGAAGTCCATCTGGCCCGCTAGCTTTATTCACGTCTAGATTCCGCAGAGTTCTAACTATGCGAACTGGCGCTATAGTGCAGCCAGCCTTAGGTAACATGAGATCCAGACGCGAAGTCTTCGCCTCTGGAAGATCTGAAAGATTTGCCTTGTCTTCTGCAGTGTAGGCCAGGGTGCCGTCCAGCCTCAGCCGCAGCCGAATAGGCGACAAAAGTTATATTTGAAGATGTTTTGTTTAAAAAAATAATTTGTCAATTTCTAGCGTCGCCATTTTCACTACGCGTACACAATATGGAAGCTGATAAAAATGCAGAACTGATAAAAATTTAATTGCTATAGAAAATACGTTATTTAATTTTTTCCTTTCAAAAAGTATTGGTATAACGGTTTTTGTAAAAACAAACACCGATATACAAATTCGTTTTAGGGTCGCGTTCGCGCCGCCGAAACGCCGCCGCCGCCGACACTTTTCTGTTGGCGCGCCGCCGCCGGTTGTTTATCGGCGCTCATGTCTAATATAAATGCGATGCCGATTAACAAAATATAAGTAGTTAATACACGCTCTGACACAAAAAGAACTTACCGATGCCGTCTTCTATTCCGTCAGTTTGTCGAAGCACGACATTTCTGTAAAAATAACGTGTCTATATGAATATTATAATAACACGACTTTTTTCAATCGCTAGAGGAACAAAAATATTACTTATTTAAGTATTTCAGACTACTAACATAAAGTAATATTGAGCACTGCTGACACCATTTTCTAACGGCTCCCCGGATCCTGAAGAAGGTACGCAATTTTCCCATCCCTCCCTACATTCAGCCCAGGGTAGCGTAGACGAGAAACTCATTGCCAAGTAATAAAGACATAGAGCTATAATGGACATGTAGTAAGACAACACGTAAAATGCTCCTAATGCCTGAGAGTAGCCAGTACCTGCAAAAATGCTTAGTATAAGTTTGATTAATTTAAACACGTAATAATTCTGTTGTGCTTCTTTAAACGCGTACCTTTCATAGCTGGTGACAAACCCCATATTCTCACACAATTCGAACTAGAGAACTGCCCCAGGAACGTTTCCAAGTAATACATAGGTCTTCCTATCAAAACTAGTACAATTAGGTACGGTATGAGGAAAGCGCCGCCACCGTTATGGTAGGCGACGTACGGAAATCTCCATACATTGCCTAATCCTACTGAAGTAGCAATACAGGACATAAGAAATTCTGTTGGGTTGGACCATTTTTGCCGATTACCCCCATCTCGTGCTTGTGATTCGGCCTGTAAAATAAAATTTCGAGAATTATTTTATTTATTTGACTTTAATGCACACAAAGTTGCGTACAAGTCGCAGACTTCATGCCATTACGCATTCTCTACCAGTCAACCGGAGAGCTAAGTTAAGAATAAATAACAGGGGTGCATAATATGACGAATAAAAAGATATGATCAAAATTTATAAATAATCATGATACATTATTTACACACAATATAAAATATACATACGATATGTAACATATAATACATGACAATATCCCACATAAACAATCTAATATGTATACATATATATACCATGTACACACATATAATATATATATTTACATATACAGAATGTTTTAAAAAAAACATAATTTTGGCGTTTAAGTGTTACATACCTACAGGTGTAACAAAAAGGTGCAACCATCAGTTGGTGTTCATAGCTATGGGAACAAACGAGCACCAAAGAAATTTTTAAATACACAAAATATATATTTTATCTAAACACATATCATTAACTTTCTATAATTTGTTCAAAAACCACAAATTACGACCAGCATAAGGGTAAACAGGGGGCCTACCATAACCTTTCCAAAAACAATCTTATTTCAATGTAAGCTTAAAGTAAGCTTATTACAATATTACTCATATTTGTACCTTGACGAACCTGTCAACCAAGTAATTTAGTATTGCAAAAGTGATGAAAGAACGAATGATTTCCCAATATTGTCTATTCCTTACTAAAAATAGTAGACTTGTGCCTGATCGGTCCTTAGAGGAAGCGATCCTAGTTAGTTCAATCGGCAACTGAACTAGGTCGGTCTTCTAGTTCATCTAGTTCCTTAGTTAGTTAGTTCGTTTTGTCCTTGCTCGGACATTGAACGATCGCTCCAAACTAGTAATTTTATTCACATGAACTACTACGGACTTTTAGTATTATGAGGTCAAATACTACACTGTACTAAACATTTAAAAATACAATTTGTATGGAATCGGTACTATTTGATTTTCTTTCATATTTTACAGGTTGATATTATACATACAGATACCTATCACACCTACCAAAACATATAACTTTTTTGTAAGCTTGTACATAATGTAGATACGTATTAGAGACTTAGAACCAGCTGGCAACATTCAATCGTGCATCCCACACGAACTAGTACTAAAAGTAGTGAAAGATCGCTATTCGGTCGCACCGTTCCTACTGAATAAAAGACAAGTGAACTATCAACGCGGACAGTTCCTAGTTCGTACTGAACTAAAAAGAAAGATGAACTATTAAAGCCGTCCAAGACGAACAAGTTCGTGTCGGTCAGTGTCGAGAATATATTCCTAATAGTTCGTAGTTCATGAGTTCATGAACTACAAGCCTAAAAAATAGGAAAGAGATAACGCTATGTGAACTATATAATGCCATCTCTTTCTTTTTTGATGTTCCGAATCGTCCTATCGTAGTAATGTTTAAGTACTTAATGTTATTTACATTCAGAGAATTTTGACTGTTAAGAAAAGAAAAGTATGTAATAATAAAATCTATTAAAATTACTTTGTTTTCAATAATTTTTCCGCATTTTCATGAAGAAAAAAAAATAAGACAAGCCGAGTCACGTTGTGAATTCGGAATTATATCCTCCTGAGTCGTCGCGTACTTCTTTAAGAACAAAATGGCGATGATCATTAAGTCCTGATTTTTACAAACTCTAAGTTGCCATTATGACCGAGTGTTCCTTTAACCCTTATTCAAACAATGGTAGAATACATGCCACCTACATAAGTCAAATTGTTTAACTATTTACAGTAGTAAAATCTGAACGCATCCATTATAACTTTCTTTTTTTACTAGAAAAAACGTTCTATTTTGTCATGTTGGCAGTACTACCTAAAAAAATAAAAGAATAAAGCGCTAATGAACGTCAAATTCAAATTGGCGGTAAAAAGTTTCATAAACGGTACTCTGACCGCGTTTTTTTTTTAATTATTTGATTTGTGACTTGAAAAATTTCGGTAAGTAAATAATTATGATTTATTTGTGGATTTAATGATATTTTTAAGTGTTGAAGGTACAGAAACGGTAGTTTACAATATAATTTATATCTAAAAAATGTGTTGAAAGTACGTGGCTAATATATGACCATTGTCCGTTCTTTTCGTATTTGTTTATCTTTCATCTTGTGTCATTTACTATAGTTTTTGATAGTTATTTACTTAATTGAGCAATTTCAATTTTTTACAGGGAAAGATGTCATCGAATAGACCACTGTCTAACAATGCACTAATAAAAGTTCTAGAAAATTGGTCCACCTTAAAAAAACCAACCCTACTATTTTTTTTTAATTTCTTATAAATTAGGTTTCTTCTTTATATTATATTTAACCAGAATAAACTGAAAAACCTATCATTACTAGCCGATTAGCTCGCATCCGATTAAGGGTTAAAAGGAATAATTAGTTTTTTTTAGAAAAAAGTAGCCACAATCATCATATTAGAACAGGAAAAAATATTGTGAAAGCTTATAAGTCTGTCTTTTTCATAAAAATCAAAAGTGAATAAATAAACCGCCATGTTAGAATAATTATTCGGCCACGAGCAGGTGACAACGGCGGCTCACCGTAAGCAAAGTAAATAAATCAACGAATTATATATAATTTTTTTATTTATTTTCGAATGTTATTTTGTTTTTATACTCCCAAATATGTGTTTTATCATAATGTTGTATTACTTTCACGGAATACACAGTGCAATATCAATAGCAACGTAGATTATGATATGAATTTGTTATTTGTAAAGTATGTCTGGTTATTATCTAGTTAATTCACTTCATTAATTTGTTCTGCATGAACCATTTCCGGTCGCTGTTTAGTAATGCTGTCCTTTCTAAAATAGATAATAATAAATTATATTTATAATTATAATTATAACTATTTTATTTAAAAAAGATCTCAAAAGTTTGCGTATGTTTATTGGAATTACATCTATTTGCAAAGTTTTATTGAATGCGGTTAACGTAAAGTGCCGGTTTCATCCCCTAATTTGCCACCCTTAGAAGTCAAATATTTTCTTCAAATTTAAATGGGACCAATGCTAAGGTACCCTCTTTCCAACAGAAAATAATCATCAAAAGTGGTTCACTATTCGAAGTAATCGCGTAACATTACTTTACATTACATTACACATAAAAAATACATTCGAATTGAGAGCCTCCTCCTTTTTTGAAGTCGGTTAAAAGGACGATTCACTTTTATAATTTGTATTTTTAATATGTAGTGCTACAAGATTACGTATTTGATTATAATCAATCAGATTTTCAACGCGTCTGAAGTAGAAGATGCAGACGATGATGAGATCTCACATAGGAAAAACCTGATATCGACGATTTGAGAGACGACGGAGAAGAAAGTGATACAACCAGTAGTGAGCCAGAAGTTGAGTATACCCTGCCCCCTTCACGCAAAGTTTTATTAAGTTTCTAAACATTTGTTTAGTTAGAGATTAATGTTTCTATTATGTTTTTTAGATTGTTTGTTTCTTGGTCAAAATTAACTTAATAAATATGACGGCTATTAAAACTTTTAAGAATAAGTGAATTTATGTTACTGTACTGATTGATCTCAATAATAATTTGACACATAACTAATGTTAGTTACATGTGTAAAGTCCTTAAGTCTCTAGATCTCAATAGTATTTAGATATTTTGAGTAAAATCCTCGTGATATTACTTCGAGTTGCCTTTTGATGTTTAAATATACTTTGTTTTGTAGAAATTTTCGCTATTTTAAATGGTTATTGAATCAATTAGTTTTCTGACGGTGTATAAATAATGTTTGCTACATTGCTACATAATGTAGCAAACATTTATATACTCTCTCGTAAGGTAAATATTACCTTAATAAGACTGAAAAATACAACTGTTTTCGATTAAAATAGATATTTTAATTCTATTTCTTCGTGATTATATTAAGACCGGGTGTACTTTAGAAAGAACAAATGTGTGGGCCTTTTAATTTTGTGCATAATTTTCCTTTCATATTTATAAAAAAAAAGTTTTGTTCCAGAGAAAAATGTGTGGAACAGTTTAAAATAGTTTAAACTGGACCTCAATGTTCAGGATTTACAGGTGATACAAATTTTGTGCTAAGTAAAGAACATTCGGTCATAACGACACATGCTTTTTTCAACTCAGGCCTCAGGAGGATAGTCTAGTGTCAACTGTTAGCTTCGCCAAGGAGCATATAGATGGTGCGATTTGATGGTGTGGTTTCGTAATTTTACTAAACAAACATCGCGTATTTTTATTTAACGAGAAATTATTTTACAATTATGACAATTTCACACGTTACTTGATATCGAACGATATGAAAGATGGAGCCGATTCTAGTTTGTCTATGAATTAAAAATAAAAACTGCGGTTGTGTGACATGCGTGAGAAAGTTTTACGACGTCGTACTTTATGTTTTTGGAATGAAAGTGTAGAGCACATTAAATAAAAAATGTTGTAAACTGTTCTTATTGGATAAAGTAGGTATTTTATGCACTCCACTGATAACGTTTTTTTTAGCTGGTCCATAAATGTATCTACTAACAATCTTTTACATGCATGCATTTAGCATTAACGTGATCTCAACTGTGACTCTCTAAACATATTGAAGATTTGTCGGAGTTTTTGCAAAACTTTACAATGTGGTCAAATCATAGAACATAGTCCATTCATTATTTTTTTTGCTATTTCGGCATATTTGTCAGTCACAGGTCTAGAAAATGCGGGGAAGTAACATCTATGGTATTATTATCCAAATACATTTTTATGGTCATATACCAACATAGTAAAATAACAACAAAAATATTAGATGACAATGTTTGAAGAAAATCGATTAAAAGTGTTTCAAACACTATAAGTTCAGCATCTACTGTTTTTCCTGTGCAATATCTTCCGATTTTTTCAGATTTGACCTGGCAACACTGATTTCGTCAGTCGTAACATACGATTCCTGAACACATCACAGAGAGCTTATAACATGCGTGTA